ATTCCATATTTTTAATTAATATTTGACAAAGGAGGCATGAACATACAATGGAGTCAGGACAGTCTCTTCAACAAATGGTGTAGGGAAAATTGGACCGATACATGCAAAAAAGTGAAACTAGATCACCAACTTATACCATGCACAAAAATAAACTCAAAATGGATACAAGACTTAAACATCAGACAGGAAACCATAAAAATACTAGAGGAATCCACAGATAGCAAAATCTCAGACATATTGGAAAGAACTTTTGCATTGATACTGCTCCTAGGGCAATGGAAGCTAAAGAGAAAATAAACAAATGGGACACCACCAAAATAAAAAAGCTTTTTCACAGCAAAAGAAACCATCAACAAAACAACAAGAGAGAATATACATTTTTCAAATGTTATTAATGATAAATGTTTAATCTCCAACATCTACAAGCAACTTATACAACTTAATAAAAGGAAGATAAATTATCCAATAAAAGAATGAGCAACGGACCTAAATAGAATCTTTTCAAAAGAAGACAGAAGGACAGCCAAGAGACACAAGAAAACATGCTCAAAGTCACTAATTATCCTATAATACTATGCTGCCATAAAAAAGAAGAAATTCTTACCATTTGCAGCAACCTGGATAGAACTGGAGAACATTATGCTAAGTGAAACAAGACAGTCAATGAAAGAAAAATACCACATGATCTCATTTGTGGATAATAAAGAACATTATAAAATGATGAACAAAAAGACAGATACAGAGGCAGTAAAGCATCAAACAGACTGTCAAATTATAGTGGGAAGGTTAGGGAGAGGTTGAGAAGATAAGAGATCAACCGAAGGACTTGTATGCATGCATATAAGCATAACCAATGGACGCAAAACATTGGGGAGTGAGGGCATGTATGGGAGTGGGTTGGGGGGCAATGGTAACATATGTACACATATAATATCTTAATAAAAATAGTGGACAAAAATAAAATAATAAAATTAATTAATTAATTAATTAATTAATTAAAAAATAAAATGTATTGATCTGGTATTGACCAGCAGGTGTGGCTCAGTGATTGAGCATCAATCTATGAATCAGGAGTCAGGTGTGCTTGCCAGTCAGGCACATGCCTGGGCTGCTGGCTTGATCCTCAGAAGGGGCATGCAGGAGGCAGCCAGTAGATGATGAAACATCTCATGATATTTCTCTCTATCTCTTTCCCTTTTTCTCTGAAATCAATAAAATATATTCTAAAAAATGCATTGACCGTATTATTTGAATCCTGACTTAAACAAGTTGAAAGAGGAAGAGATGATAGAAATGTTTATTGTTTTAAATTATTTTAGACTACTAAATTTCAAAATAACATATTGCGCAGCAATACACACCAATACAGATATCCACCCTGAAAACTATGACTGGAGTCTGAGAATTTAACAAAAACAGGAGACTCCCTGAGTTCAGATTTGGATTCAAATTTTGGAATCGACCACTTGCTAACCTGAGGGAAACCATTTAGACTCTCTCTGAAAAGCTGGCGCCTTCAAGTTGTAAAATAGAGATAAAAATGACTAATGCCCAGGGTTACTGTAAGAATTTAAAGACAAATGTGCTTAGCACATTGCCTTGCACAAAATAAATGAAAAGTTGATGAGGAGCTGTGATTTTGCATAATCACATCAGCAGTGCTCATTTTGAAATGGCCTCACTGCCACTCCAAACACAGATGATTTCCCAGAACAGGCCCGTCCGCATCTCCTCCTAAGAGAAGGCAGATGGAGGGTACTCCAGAGTACAGAGAGCCAAGTCTTGTACCATGGTCTCCACTGCGCATCTGTTTCTACAGTCTCAGGGCCTCCGTCTACACAAGATGCTGTGTATTGCAGTGTGGGACACACTCTTGAGCTGGAGTGTGAACCCAGGGAAGACACGCAGGAAAAGGCAGTCTGAAGTATTTCCTGGGTGCTTGCAGACAGGCTTAGAAATGGGATATGAAATAGGGGTATCCACATTAAATTTAAATTCAATGGTGTTTCCTCTCCTCAGTCTCCCAACACAAAAAGAGGCTAGCTCTGAACTGGCAGCCTTACTTTCATTTGTCATTATACTTTACACACATGGAAATTTTAATGTCTAAAGATGGGAGGTGATTATAAGAATAGAACTACACATGTCTTTTTGGCAGCCCAGTCACCAGCACTTAAGTTCACTTCTGACAGTTCTCAGAATCTAAAGACCTGTAAGCGCTCAACTGCCGACTGCCTATCCAGAAGTGATTTCACTGGCAGGATTTCAAACATTGAAATCACTCGTTTTTTTATGTATATTTTCCCCACCACAATATTTCTCTAAAACATGTAAAACACTACCCTCGAGAGACATTAAAAAAAAAAAAAAAAAAAAAGGTTTGTGGTACAGGGTTTGCTAAAAGGAAAATCACCCTTGTTTCTGAACCCAGAAGTATACAAATTCAAAGTCATTTGCTAAAATCTAAGATTAGGGCAAAATGGGTGATAGCTTTCTCCAAGAAGTTGGGGCTTGGTGATTACAAAAGGCAGTTAAACGTGTTGATTTTTGAACTACTTAATGGTTAAAAACTAATGGTCCCTTTAAGAGTTGGAACACAGTGCTATTATGTAACAGTTGGCTCTCTCCAGCACAACTGCCTGCTCACAATGCTGTCTGACACAGAATGGGAGGACGTGAGGAGAAGCAATACATCTAAGCTCGTGCTGGAGCAGCACGATGTCAGGAGCAGGCAAAAAAGTCAGAGCTTGATTTAAAAAACAAAACAAAAAAAACCCTACATTTGCTGCCAACATGCCAAGTGAGCCGGTGAAAGTCACTCACTTTCTCTGATCTCGGTTTCATCCCATGTAAAAGAAAGGACAGTTGATCATGGAGGAGAAAGCAGGAGTAAGGAATGCTACAGATCTGAGCCCATCTGCTTCCCAGCCAGCTACCTCTTTGGTCTCCCATTCTGCATCTGTATAATAGAGATATCACACATCACCTACCACAAAGGGTTGCTTTTGAGAATTTAACCAGAAAATGTACACAAAGGGTTCTTAAGTGTGAGTCCCCTGATAACTACTCATAAATGAGCTGCTACTGCTGCTATTGTGATTACTCTTATTACTGCCTTTCAAACAACCACAAAAAGCATTCGTTTGAGGAGTAAGTTATTCGCAACAAAACGCTGCTTCCTTGACAACTGAGATTATGGCTTGCTTCAGCATAACTGGGCTTCCAATGGTCACCCCTCTCTTCCCAAACCCCGGAAAAGTATCTGAGGCTTTGGAGATACTCACTACATGGTTAAGTGAATGAACACGTGGATAAGTGAATAATAAAGGTGTAAGTGAGCAAATGTCTTAAAAGCTACTGCTGCCATGGCCAGTTATGCTCATTGGCCTGTGGACCAAAAAGTTGTGGGTTTCATTCCTGGTCAAGGGCACTAACTCCATTGCAGACTGGATCCCTGGCCCTGGTTGGGGGGGGGGGGGAAAGCAACCAATCAATGTCTCTGTCTCTCTCTCTGTCTCTCTCTCTCTCTCTCTCTCTCTCTCTCTCTCTCTCTCCCCTACCCCCGCCCCACTTCAATCTCTCTCCCCTCCATTCTCTGTTCAAAAGAAAACAATCAATAGAAAAAATATCCTCTGATGAGGATTAAAAAAACAAAAACAAAAAACTACTGCTACACCCAAACTGGCCACTGTAGTGGTGGGCTAATATTGCCAAACACTACAGAAAGCACACATGGTAGGGTTTACCCAGGCCTGCTGGCAAACTAGGGATGTTGTCCAAGTATTCCTGTGAGTGTGCAGCCTGCATTAAGGGGACGGTGCAAGTCTCATTGAGGACTCTAACTCAGTCCTTCAACCTCCAAGACTCAGGCCACTTGCCTGTTCCAGAAATGGATTCAGAGAACAGACTCCTTAACCGACTAAAATTGTTGAGTGGGAAATTGATGGAGACACGAGAAGAATTGAATACTGGACAGAACTGAGGGGATCAGAACTACATATAAATATTTGGCTTAGACTACCTCCCCTTACACCCATCATCTGCTTCAGGATCCTAACAGTCTAATGCAAAGACAGCCTGTCATGCATCAGAGTTCTCCAAATTCAATCAGGAGAACTGGTACCTCCTTTGGAACTCTCTTATACTTGGCACCTCTACTAACTTAATCCTCATGTTTATAATTCAATCCACTGAAAGTTACTTCTTAACGAAATTCAAACCCCTATGTTAAATAAGAAGCCAGTATTGCCTGCCCTAAAAATTATGAGAGAACCATAAAAATAAACACTTGGACACAAAATATTACCATTAAAATGGCCTGACCACCACTGCTTGCCTCAGCACTAGATTTGGGTGTCTCTCTCTCTCTCTCTCTCTCTCTCTCTCTCTCTCTCTCTCTCTCTCTCTCTCTCTCTCTCTCTCTCTGGAAGAGAGGTTAACATGCAATAGTATAGTAAAAATTTGTCAGCCTCTAGCCAAAGCATTCAGAAAGACAAAAAAGAATGAAAAAATGAGTAAGTTTTTCATGATGGGAGCCCATTTGGGAGCCACGTTCGCACACCACCATAAAATCATGGCAGATTTGAAAAACAATGAAACCTCCTTCTCATGATCTGATCCTCAGCTCCCTTGCTATACTGGGTAGCTGAAGTGTCCTCTTCCCGAGTGCAATGAAAATGTTCTTTCCCTCCACTTGGAGACTGCAAAAATGTCCATAAGCAGGATGCACCATAGGATCATCTGGCTTTTATTAGCCATTTCTACTAGTGCTTTAATCGTGTCTTTTCTTTTTATCTGCGAGGCTGTTAATAGATGGATGACACATGTCATAATGAGAGTCAAGAAAATATGGTGCACCTTAGCCGGGCCAATATAAATGAGCCTCCAGCTTGGACGCCAAAACAACACCACAGCCTTGCATTCTCTCAGTTATGTTCATCTGATAAAGACATTACAATAGTAAGATATTATGATCTATAACCCTCCACTAGAACACTCACACATTCTTGGCCTTAAACGCTTGAGCAAAATGCTGCACGCTACGGAGCTGAGCGAGGTCCAGGGTCATTGCTTCTACCTTGGCTTTATGCTGGAATGAGAGAAAATAAAAAGAAATGATAAATAACAGCAAGTTTAGTTCGTGGTATCAAGTTACAGTAAATGTGTTATGGAACATGTCGGAATTCCCCTGTTTAATATTAGACGCCCAGAGAGAATATAAATCATCAAAATGAATGGAAGAACAGGGCTTTTACTGCCAAGTTTAGGGAGGATGTGAGGCCGGGCCTCTGCTGAAACTGCAGGCTGGGGGTTGTGCTGCTTCATGCAGCGCACAGGAGAGGCGCCTAAGGGTCTTCAGGCTCCCGTATCGCCTCTCACTCTGCATCCTAAAAAACCGGAGTGATAGGAACACCTGGATACAGCTGGCTGGGGCAAGAATTCAGCTGACATTTTAATCTCAAAAACTGCCATGCAGGTTCTGGAATTACTCCTCCAATACTGTATCAAAAATTAAAGACAATATAGCCCTAGCTGGTTTGGTTCAGTGGCTAGAGTGACAGACCATGGACTGAAAGGCCCCAGATTCTATTCTGGTCAAGGGCATGTACCTCAGTTGCAGGATCAGTCCCTGGCCTGGTCAAGGCGCATGTGGGAGGCAACCAATCGATGTGTCTCCCACACATCCATGTTTCTCTCTCTCTCTCTGTTTCTCCCCCTCTCTTCTACTCCATGGAAATATATCCTCAGGTGAAGATTAACAGCCACAAAAAATAATGACAATCCTACCTAATAAAGAGGAAATATGCAAATTGACCATCATGTGGTAACCCACAGCAGAGGCCAAGTTCCCGTAATAAGCCTTAATGAGCAATTAGCAGGGACCTGAAGTTGCATGGCACTGGGAAGGGGCAGGGGACCTGAGGTTGCGTCCTACCCCCCCTCTCGCCCCCCACCCCTGCCTGATGGGGCTTGACAGGGGACTTTAGGCCACACCCCCTGCCCTGGTGCCAGGCCAGGGGACCTCAGGCTGCACCCTCAGCAGGGCTTGACCGGGGACCTCAGGCCGTACCTCCCACTCTGGCACCAGGCCATGGGACCTGAAACCGCACCCCCTGTCCAATGGGACTTGATGGAGGACCTGAGACCTCACCCCTGGCCCAGCGGGGCTTGATGGATGACCTCAGGCTATGCCCCCTGGTCCAGGCCAGAGACCTCAGGCTGCACCCCTGCTCTGGTGCCAGGCCAGGAGATTTGAGGCCACGCCCCCCACCTGGCAGGACTTGATGGGGTTGGGGCTGGCTGGGGCTGGATCTCATATAATTTCAAGGCACGTGTGGGTGGGCAGGGACTTGACTCTGGTTCCTGTCTCAGGCCCCAGACTCGCACAGGAAGAGGATTTTTATATATAAAAATTTTCTTTCATCTCTGACATTTCTATTATAGAGAAAGGGCAGATAGCAATATTAAAATATTTCCTCTAATTAATTCCCTTTTAATATGCATGAATTTTATGCACTGGATCACTAGTTTATTTATAGTAAGTACAGAAACAGGTAAAAGTCACTTATATAGAAGGATTATGACTGACTCAGATGTTTGTGGTTTAGTAACCCACAAAACACTACAGACAGATGGGGCATATGTGGATTATCATAATGATGCTCATAATGGCTACTACCTATTCAGAGCCTTCCATGGGCTGGACATTTACATCACCCTCACACCTGAGCAATGGGCTATATTTTCCCACTTTTCTTATAAGAGATCAGAGAGGCCAGAAGTGCAGGTAGCAAGCATTGATGTTAAGCCAATCTGACACAAAAGCCCAAGTTCCCTCTTGGAAAGGAACTCAAAGGGCTGGAGCAGTCGGGCTTTGAAGCATCACATTCCACTGGACGGCTCCAGCACACTTCTGGAAAGATCAGGGTTTCCTCTCAGACTTGCCTTGTGTGAAAGACACTCCCAATTTTTAGTTTGGCTGGACTTCATGGTGTGATATTCAATACTATCAGTTTTTAGACCTACTTCCTCCAAAGATAGGATTCCAGGCCACCTGCCTAATCAGGTAAAAGAGCCCCTTAAACAAATGGTTGAATTGAGAATTCTTGTCTAGATGGTGAGGCTATAGGAAGACTAAGGAGAATAACATGACACCTCTAAGGCTAGGAAAGGTGAATGCAAACAGCACTGCTAAGAACATCCTGAAACCGAGCTGTCCTATTCAGGATGGATACAGGCCATGCAGGGATGCTCAGTGGATATGGGGCAGTTGATCTTGGCTGCTAAGGTCCTAGGCTCTCACCTAGCTCCCAAGCTTTGAATAACAAACACCAGGCAGAGACAGCTGAGAAGAAGCCTGCCTTGAGGCTATGAAACATTTCTAAGACTCAGTTTCCTCATTTGTAAAAGGTGACTATTAATGGCCTACTCACAGAATTGTGAGTATAAGTGTAAAGCACCCACCATCCTGTCTGGAAAAGAGGAGGTGTTTAGTAAATTTAACTAGAGAGAGATAAAACATCTACTGTGCCCAATTCCTCCCCTGGTGCCAGCCTGCAGTAAATGGTGGTTTGGGTGGACTGCTATGCAGCATGGTGTTAAGGATATGCAAGGGTCTGCCCTGAGGATTAGATGTCTGTTATATCCTGGAGGACCCAGGTCATGTCTAATCACAGAGCCCAGTTCTAGGGAAAGTGGGCAGAGAGTGATTCTATGACTTCCCCAAACCTAACAGCATATCAGTAGCAAAAGCCTGGCCAGTATAGATTTACATTCATTATGCAGTAGCAGATGCACCAACGTGCAGATTTCAAAAGGAGAAGGATAATGATGGCATGGCCAAGGAGGCCTTCACATGCTTCTGTGTGTGTAACTTACCGTTGGCAAGTTGTCTGTTGGTCTTTCCCTTTCACTTTAAAATAATGCACAGAGCTGCCACTACTAATAAGAACAAAATCAGAATGTACACCTTCAGGGGGAACAAGGGGTCACAAGCCATCAAGCAGTTCAACAGACTAATCCACAGGCTCTGGGTTACTAGGCTCCTGGGGACAGTGATTCAAGTCTGCACACTATTACTCAGGTAATTCTCCTGCCCTCAGTATCAGGTTTCTGTTTCTACTACCGACCCTGAGAAATGTAGTGAAACTGTGTGCGATATAGTGAATCCAGTTGGGGGGGAAAACAAAACACAGCTTTTAGAATGGGGGGAAGAGGGTGTTTATGAGTGTGTATATTGGGAGATTTGCTTTTCTGACTACCTAAGAACTTTAGTAACTTTATAAAAGTGTTTATCATGAGACATGCTCTAAATGAAAATGCAGAGGCTGGTGGGTCCTATTTTTGATGGGTAATCTGTGGACTGCGAGGTAAAGGCAAGCGTTTCAATTTGCCAGTGTTAGCTTTTCTGCCATGTCTGGCCTTGAATCTGGGACTGACCACAATTCACTTCCATGGTTTAGCTCATGAACTTTTTGTTGCTGCTGTCAACTCTGTTTTGTAACTAATTACAGACTCTCAAGAAATGGTATTTAAAGTGTTTACCTTGCAACATCCTCAATGGTGACATCTCAGCCATGATCAGAACCACTTGATTGACACTGGCAGAGTGGAATTTATTACACATCAGACATTACTAAGAATTCACCAGTTTTTGGATGCACTTAGTTAATTTATTTGTAATGCCTTTGTGTATAATTCTGTGACATCTTTGAGATATAAAAATGAGAAGGAACAGGTGACCTTCTCATTAAGAGATGCAAGAATTATCACATGCCATACAGCTTTGTTTGGCCAGATGTGCTCTCTGAATTGGCCAAGCAAATACACACAAAGTCCCAGTTTAAAATCCTTTTGCAGCTCGGAATGGCCAAGAAGATATGGTCCAGATTCCTCAGTTTGGTTCACACACAGTTTGAGTCAGTCAGACAGAATTCCATAAAGTACACCACCCACCCACACAAACCTCTGTGTCTTAAAACACCAAGGATTATTACTTGCTCAAGTTCCATATCCATCCCAGGGTGGTGGGGCCATGTTAATCATAAGTCATGTTCATCAGGGCAACCAGGGCTCAGGCAGATGAAGCCTCCACCTCTATAACATCAGCAAGTTCCACAGTGGGGAAAGGAGTGTGGCAATTGCACAGGGTTCCCCATGGTTTCCACCCAGCATTGACAGAAGCTGCTTCTGCTTACATTCCATTGGCAAAACAACTCATGTAATTGCATTGTTTGAGAAGGTACAACCCTCCAAGAGCACAGAAAAAAGGCATGTGATGGGGATGTGTAATGGAGAATGGTAAAGACTATGATGTGACTTGGCCCTGCCTACCTCTCCAGGCTTTTTTCAGGTCTCTGCCTACTTCACACTTTTATTAGTTTAGAAAACTTTTAAAAGGCTGGAAAAATATGAACAAAATAAATGCATATACAATCTCTCCACCCTAAAATAAACTGTTATCCTTCCACTTGTCGATCTCTCCTTCCTTTCCTATCTATCTGTCTGTCTGTCTGTCTCTATCAATTCAATCATTCACTTAGCTTTAACAGAAAAAAACTTCATACTAAGAATTTTGAATTTTAAAATGGTATAAAATGCCTCTCTCAACCCTTCCTTAAATCCTTACTTTTTTTTTTTCTAGTCACACCAGTACACCAGCCTATCATCTCAGGCAAAACAAGAATGTAAATTTATTTTAAATTATGTATACAGATGCTAGTACCCATCATTTTAAAACAGAATGGCACAGGTGGCATCTCACACATGAAACATCAGGCAACTTCTAAGTAGCTGAGATGCCCAACTGCTCCTGACACTCTAGGCTCAACCAGAAAGACTGAGTAATTAAGCAATCCATGCACTCTTCTTACATTTCCCTGGGACCCTGGGATACTCCCTGGTGGCACTGTTCTGTAGACCAAGTCTGCCTGGTCTATTCTTTGTAAACCTGTCTGAGTGATTGTATGAGCAGAATCCTTCGACTGCTTACTGTTGTTATGCAACAGTGATCTCTCATGCCATATTATGACTATGAATTAGCCAAGTGTGACTCAGATGTGACATAGCCAGAAACCAAAGGAACCATAT